GTCAAAAAATCAAAATCCTAACCTTCTAATGAGATGCATAAACTTTTGATCAAACGGTTAAATATCTCACTTAACAAATAAATACTTTCACTAGAATTAGGTTACAATCACATGATGGTATATGAAGTAAATAATAAGATAATTATGTAATAAATGAGAATTATTTTGCACAATTAATTGGGTTTAAAATATGAAATAAATTTGAGAGTTAAAAGAAATAATTTATTGAATTAATTAAACAATATTTTATTAAAATTGATTGGGGTTGACATTTATTAGTGAATGGAGTGACCTTGTTTTGAAACATGGCATGTTATAATTGGCAATTGATGCTTAAAAAATGGGAAGAATGTTTATGGTATAACTTAGAAGTTAAAAAAAAAAATAGCAAATTTAAAGTGTTTTATGTGGACTAAAGTTGAAGTCAAAAATTGCCATAACCAAAAGAAGAAATGGAGTCAAAAGGAATTGAACCTTTAATCTTAAGCTTTGAGGTGAACAAAGGCACTAGAAAACAATAATTTTATGTACACACAAAACTGATTACAGAATTAATCACATAAAATAATTTTAATTATTCATGTTAGGTTGTAGAACCTACTAGGAAGTTGGTCCATTCCTATAATTCTAAGTGTATTTTTTGTTGTTAATTTTGCAATTGATTCTGTGCTTGTAAAATTATTGAGAAAAAAAAAAAATCCAATGTTGTCACTTTTTTGCACTTATATATGATATTTTAATTGTAGCATGACCCTACATATCCTCATGTGTAAGTGGTTCACCATCTGATATTAGGTCTTCACCATTCAATGGATGGGTCCTCCCCCATTAAATAATGCCCACTCAGATCGACATCAAACAGCTTCACAACTCTATCCATGAACCAAATTTGAGGGAATTGAAGAAAGAAAAAGAAAAAATTAAAAATAAAGGGAGAATTTTTTTTCCCCATACATCGGAAATAAAATAAAGGGAGAATTAATGCTTAAGACCTCGTTTAGAAACAGGTTAATTTAGTAATTTTTTGGTTATTTGGTTAAAATATGAGCTAAAAAAAACTAATATGTTTGAGATGACTTTTCGGCTTTTTACGAAAAGATGTGCAAAAAATAGAGAGAAAAGAGAATCTTTGACTTTTTGGTATGAGTTGTTGACTTTTTGACTAATTTAGTAATTTTTTAACTTTTTGGCTAAAAAGTTCAGTTGCCAAACGAGGCCTAAGTATTGAAAAAAATTGAAAATGGGATTTAAGTCCATTTCAAATGCAATTAAAGGGTAAATTACAAATACACCCATGAAGTTTGCTTAAAATACAGATTGCTCCCTGTAGTTTGAAAAATTACAAATGCCCTCTTATTAGAATTTTTTATTTAACAGAATTAATTAAAAAATAGAATTCATAATTGCTCTCCTATACAATAATAAAATTACCTAAATTATTAATTTAAACATATTTTTAATATCATTAAAAACTATTAATTAACTTGATGATTTATTAATAAAAGAGACGATTTGTTATGAAATTAGAACCCTCAGGGAGTAGAATGTAATTTTTAAAATTACAGGGGGCGATTCGTATTTTAATCAAATTTTAAAGGGTGTATTTGTAATTTTCCGCAACTAAATAAGGAAATGCATGAGAAAAATGAGATTTCACAAATGTAAACCAGCCAAAATATTGAGAATGTATTATTTTACGAACAAAGATGTCCAGGAAACAAATACATAACAACATATTAAACTTTTCTGACTTTTAGATTCTCAAACCTCGTATGGATGTGGGTATGTATAGGCTCAAAAAGTAACATTCTCATGATGGTGTATGAAGTATATAATAAGATAATTATGTAATAAATGAGAATTATTTTGCACAATTAATTGGGTTTAAAATATGAAATAAATTTTAGAGTTAAAAGAAATAATTTATTGAATTAATTAAACAATATTTTATTAAAATTTTCAACAATATCCACTTGCACATCTATATGAAAGTACAACTCTTTTGTTCAACTTTCTTTTTATTTGCAATTCCTTTTTTTTGGTAAATTACAAACACACCCATGAGGTTTACTTAAATTACAAATTATCCCCTGTGATTCTAAAAATTACATTATGTCTTCTAAGGTTTCTAATTTCATAAATAGATCCTTTTATTAATAAATTATCAAGTTAATTAACAATTTTTAATAATGTTAAAATTTTATTTCAATTAATAATTCAGATAATTTTATTATTGTATAGGTGAACAGTTAGAAATTTCACTTTTTCAATTAATTCTGTTAAATAAAAAATTCTGATATGAAGGTATTTGTAATTTTCCAAATCACAGGGGCAATTCGTATTTGAAGCAAACATCTAGGAATGTATTTGTAATTTATCTTTTTTTGTAATTCTGGGAATGTATTTGTAATTTATCTTTTTTTATCTATGAAAGTAATGGTGTTTATAATTAAATTGTAGAGCTTTTTTTTTTTTTTCGTCTTTTTTTGAAAAAAGAGAAAGACAGACAAAAAAAGAAAAAGAAAAAGGCCAATGTGAATATTTAATTTGATTGTCCTTCTCATTGTCACTCTATTACCATGAGGTTTGCTCATTGGTCCCCATAAAAACAAACTATAGAGTATCCAACCACAAAAGTACTTTAACTTGCACCACCCTCTTGTCCCCATCTTAATATGCTTTCCAATATATGTATACACCACCAACTGGCAACTGCTTGTCCTATTAATTATAAATGAGTACTGCTAAATATTATTAGTTGTTTTTTTTGTATCGTTTTATGTCATCATGGTCAGTGGCGCCATCAAGGGATGAGAAGGGCACATGCCCTTTCTCAAATTTTAAGAAAATATTTTTTAAATTTTGAAATGTTTTGAATTTTTATTTTTATTTTTATTTTTTTGTAAAATTACATATGTATATATATTCTTTTAAAATTTTATTATTCACCCTTCAATAAACTTGACACACATTAACTAGAATATCGCCATAGATTCAATCCTTATTTGATTCACAAATAAATTTATAACAACATTTCATTTTATTAAATGTATTTATTGACATTTTTCATTTTTATTTTCATTTTATATTATCTTTTTTTTTTTAAAAATGTTAAGATGGTTTTATTTTAGTGATATGTATGATTTTAAAATAACTTTACAATATTGATATTATTTATTTTTTATTTAATATTTTACAAATTGAAACTTTATGTTCTAAACTGACCTAACTCAATAATTTATTTTAGTATTTGTCTCTTTTCGATCAAAAACCAACTCTTTCACTGACAGTGGTACATAGCTAAATATTATTTTTTTACGTTATTTTCTTAATGACAATTTTTAAACAAGCAAACAATCAAAAAAATTTATATAACGAGTCACACAAAACCGTGGTAAAATCAATGAGATATAGTATATAAATTTTGTCTGGTTTATAGGCTTTTTCTTTTTTTAAAAAAAGGTTGAGTTTTCAATTTTAATATTCTAACTGATCTTTCTAGATACACTTAATCTAAATATACTTAAAAAGTTAAAATTTGTGAATTAAATACTAAAAAATACAAAAAAAAAGAAGCACATTTTTGTATTTTTTGTTTATTGAATTTTTAAAAAAAATTCTTCACAAATATTTTATTTTTTATGTACATCTAGATTTAGTGTATTTAACAAATAAAATTTGTTAACTAAAATATCAAAAAAATTACTAAAAATAAAAAAAATACAAATACAAAATCAAAAATTATATTTGAAAACTCAAAAAGCTAAACAGAGTGTATTTCTTATTACAAATCTTACTTCTTTGGTTGGTATACTGTTAGTTTGATGGACTAGTAGGGATTATATGATGAGACATCTAAGTATGGGCACATCTCTTTCAAAAAAATTTATATATACTATGCATTTTAAGCTATACAAAATGCATCAAAATTTATTTTGAAATTCTCACTATATTGAATAACTAAAAAAATTATTAATAACAAGAGGAAAATAATTTTAAGAACCGAGTCTTTTTGTCGCAAAAAAAATTGTGTTTATATATATAATCACAAAATTGTGTTTACAAAATTGTCTTTTTGTGTTTAGAAAAAAAATTTTTGCTTAGATATCATGGTGTGTGTGTATATATATAATTATATAAAATGTATGTATGAGTTTGTGTAAGTATTGTTTTACTTTTTTAAGAATATCTTTTTCACTGAGTAACTATTAGCCACTTTTAACCCAATATTCGTCAGATTTAATAATTGTTAAAACAACCATGCTGCAGACCCCCAGTAGGAGTCGCACCCCCAGTGAGGTGGCGAGTCCCCACTGGCTGAAACTCAAAAAAAAAATAAAAATAAATAAAATAATTTTTTTTTTTTGTCCAATCATGACGCGCCACCTCACTGGGGGTCTACCCCCAGTGGGATCCGAAGCATTTTTCTTGTTAAAATTACAAACGCATCATGGTACACTGAGTAACTATCAGCCACTTTTCACCCAATATTCGTCAGATTTAATAATTGTTAAAATCACAAACGCATCATGGTTACCCCATTGCTAATATATATGGCCCGTTCATTTTGAGAGATAAAATGGAAGGGATTAATAGTGAGGAAATTATTAGTGAGGGGATTGATAGTGAGGAATTGTTAAATTATTTTTATATAAAATAATAAAACAAATAAAAAAATATAAAAAATTAAACATTATATTTAAAAAAAATTTCCAATATATAAAAAATAAAAAAAATAAAAAAATTTCTAATCCCTTCACTATTTTTCTAATACCATCTCTACTTCCTCCTTACCAATCCCCCTTCCAAGAGGACTACTAATACCAAGGGACTAATAGTACCCTCCCCATTTCTCAAAACAAACACCCTCATTAATAATACCAAAAGATTGGTAATCTCAATCTCCTCTCTATAACCCCAAACAAACGGCGTCATATAGATTTATATTTGTGTGTGTCACTTTTGCTCTAGTGATGCATTAACGTGAAAGAGAGAGAGGATCACAAAAACTTCACAATAATAGATATACAATTTATTGAACTCTTCATCACCAACACCAAATACAAAATCATATACTGATCAGACACACTTGTGCTTTTCAAAGCATGAAGACTATGCAAAGCAAACGCAAACCAACCCACAAATTAGTCATATACTCACCAACACTTTTTCCTACTAAACCAGATATATATTAAAAAGAAAAGAAAAGAAGACATTAAAGTTTAAACATCACTTGATTAATTGTTGATTGAGGCTCATGGCACATACTCTTCTGGACTCTCCTGAAACTCCTTTTGGATCTGGTACCCATCCATGGAGTTTTTGTACTCATATGAGTTCTCATTGTTATTCCCATAATACCCCTTGTTATTGTCATAAACTCCTCTTGAATTCTCATACCCCTCACCATAATTATTCTCGTTCTTCATGTCATAATAGTACTTTCCATTCTCCAAAAACCTTGTATCACTCATGCCTTGCTGCTGGGTATTGTAGTTGTTGGCACTGTTGTAGTGGTTGTTGGTGGCGACGGTGGTGGCAGTGGAGGTGGAGGGGGTGGTGTAGCCTCTGTCCATGAGCCTTGTGTCACTAAAGCCTTGTTGACCATTGTAGTTGTTGTTATTGTTGGTTGTGGGGTAGTCTCTGGCCATGAACCTTGTGTCACTCATGCCTTGTGGGTCAGATTCAGTCACATAAGCATCCTTGTTGTAGTAGTAGTTGTTGTTGTTGGTGTAGCCTTTGTGCATGAATCTTGTGTCACTCATGCCATGTGGGTCCGATTCAGTCACATAAGCCTCCTTGTTGTAGTAGTAATTGTTGTTGGTGTTGTGGCCTCTGTCCATGAAACTTGTGTCACTCATGCCATGTGGGTCAGACACATAGGCATCCTTGTTGTTGGTGTTGGTGGTGGTGTAGCCTCTGTCCATGAACCTTGTGTCACTCATTCCATGTGGGTCAGACTCAGTCACATAAGCATCATTGTTGTAGTAATAGTTGTTGTTGTTGTTGTTGGTGTTTCCATTGGTGGTGGTGGTGGTGGTGTACGGCTCTTCGGAATTGGTTTCATATGGGTGGTTGGTGGTGGTGTAGGGTTCAGAAGTGGTCGTTTTGGTGGTGGTGGAGGTGGGGAGGTGACCGGAGCCGGACTCATGGCTATATAGGCCATAGCCATTTTGGGTATCAGGGGTGAAGTTTGGCTCTTGCTCTTGTTTGCTCAAAGGTTGTTCTTTGTTGGGGACTTGTACTACTGTCTCTTTTGCATTGTTGTTTTTGTTGGTGGTGGTGGTGGTGGTGGTGGAGGGGGTGACTTTACTGAAGAATTGGATGTCTCGGGCATGAACATGGAGAGAAGACGAGAGAGCAAGGAAGAAGAGGAATGAAAAGTGTTTGGCTGAGAGAGCCATGAATGGATAGAGAAAGAGAAAGAGAAAGAGATTGTGTTGGTTGATGTGGAATGTAGTTGTATTGTGGGAAATTGCAGGGATGGTCTTCTTTATATGGAGGTTCTCTCACTTTCTCCTATGTAGTACAGTCCTTATAGTGCAATATGTAATTCATAAAATAACAACCCCTCATGTTAAAAAAAAAAAATGTAAAAATTGAAATTTAACTTAAAAACGACATTTTTTTGTATTTGTATTCAAACTTGAATAAAGCCACCGAAATGATGAGGTTTTTAACTTTCCTCCTCTATTTTAAAATACTATAAATTATAAGAAAAGAAAAAAGAAAATTTCAAATTCACTCATTAGAGGCATACAGGAGAGGGGAGTGGATGATGATTGTCGTCCCTTGGATAATAGCACTCTAAGAGCATCTCCAATGGTAGTAGGCATTTTACCTATCTAAATATTACTATAAAGTATACATTTTATTTTGCATGTCAACTGTTTCATGTTTCTACTCCAACCATGCTCTTTATTTTAGCTATTCATCTAAATAATATTAATTTTATAGAATGCCACGTCAATAACAAAGATGGAGGGAAATAATCATAATGATTAAATACATTTTGCCTAACCTTGAAGGCTAGCTACATGTAGCTAGCGAATGTGAGCTGAGCCAAAATGCCTAATCATATGCCTAGTGCATTGGAGTTGAAAAAAGTGAGTCACATTAGGCATTTTGACTAACAAGCATTATATGCCTAGTGGGTTGGAGATGCTCTAACATAATGGAAAAGTTACTCATAAACTATTCCAAAATAGATATGACTTTTATTGGATCGGTGGACCATGATAAGTATTATTCACTCAATTTTACTGTTCACTCAAATACTATGTCCAATGGGGAGTTTGGGTACTTTCGTAATTCTCATGTGCTTATGTATAACCCTAATTCTATACTTATAAATAGATGAGGGGACGCTTCTTTTCGGTTAAGAGAGAATTGTATTTTTTTTTTTCATAGTGAAAACCACAGCAGCCATGGACGTAACCCTATTCTAGAGTGAACCACGTAAATCCTTGTATTCTTATGTGTGTGATTTGTTTGATTCGTTAATTTCTTTCTTATTTGTTATTTCGTGTCTCACCGATCTTGGTTAGGAAGGGTCAATTCCTAACAATTGGCATCAGAGCATTGGTTCGAGTGAGAGCGATGGCTACAGACGAAAAGGTTCGAATCGATAAATTCAATGGCACAGATTTTGGCTTTTGGAAGATGCGGATTGAAGACTATATGTATTAGAAAAAACCGTATAAGCCCCTCTAAAGGACAAAACCAGAAAAGATGAAGGATGATGAGTGGACTCTTCTTGATCGCCAAGCGTTAGGTGTTATTCGGCTAACATTGTCTTCTAATGTCGCGTTTAACATAGCGAAGAAGAGACTGCAGCAGGTCTCTTGGCAGCACTCTTAAACATATACGAAAAATCCACTGCCTCAAATAAAATTTATTTGATGCGTAGATTGTTTAATCTGAGGATGACAAAAGGGGCTTCGGTGGCTGAGCATCTGAACGAATTCAATATTGTGGTAACACAATTGAGTTCTGTATTTATCGAATTTGATGATAAGGTTAGGGCTTTGATTCTTCTATCTAATTTGCCAGAAAGTTGGAATGGTACTGTAACGGCAGTAAGTAATTCTTCAGGAAAAGAAAAGTTGAATTACAATGATATTCGAGATTTAATTCTAAGTGAAGAAAGTCACAGAAGGGAATTAGGAGAAACATCCGGTTGCCCTGAATACAGAAGCCAGAGGAAGATCAGTAGGAAAAAAACCTGAACTGCAACAGATCAAAATCCAAACACAAAAGCAAGTCAAGAACTGGAGAGGGACGGAGTTGCTGGAATTGTGGAAAGAAGGGACATCTAAAGGAAGATTGCCCGACATTAAATAAAAACAAAGGTGATCAAAATCAGAAGTCTTCTAATGCTGCAACGGATGAGATTTATGATGTTTTGATCTTGAGCATTGACAGCCCTCTTGAATCTTGGATTTTAGATTCTGGGGCATCATTCCATGCTACTTCATAAAGGGAAATCATGGACAATTACATTGGTGGTGATTTCGGGAAGGTTTATCTAGCTGATGATGAACCTTTGAATATTGTGGATAAAAGGGGATATAATAATCAGGTTGCCAAACGGATCTGTTTGGAAGATATAGAATGTCAGACATATGTCTGGTTTGAAAAGAAACTTGATTTCTGTTGGACAACTTGATGATGAAGGTCATGTTGTAACCTTAATAGGTGGTCTGTGGAAAATCACCAAAAGAGCCATGGTTGTTACTCGTGGTAAAAAAGAAAGCACCCTTTACATGACTACGAACAATAGGGCTGTAGTAGCAGTTGCTAGTGAGAAGGAAGACTCAAATCTGTGGCACCAAAGGCTTGGGCATATGAGTCAAAAAGAGATGAAGGTACTTGTATCTACGGGAAAACTGTCAGATTTGTTTGATTCGCTAATTTCTTTCTTATTTATTATTTCGTGTCTCACTGATCTTGGTTAGGAATGGTCAATTCCTAACAACTGGCATCAGAGCATTGGTTCGAGTGAGAGCGATGGCTACAGACGAAAAGGTTCAAATCGATAAATTCAATGGCACAGATTTTGGCTTTTGAAAGATGCGGATTGAAGATTATCTGTATTAGAAAAAACCGTATGAGCCCCTCTAAAGGACAAAACCAGAAAAGATGAAGGATGATGAGTGGACTCTTCTTGATCGCCAAGCGCTAGGTGTTATTCGGCTAACGTTGTCTTCTAATGTCGCGTTTAACATAGCGAAGAAGAGACTGTAGTAGGTCTCTTGGCAGCACTCTCAAACATATACGAAAAACCCACTACCTCAAATAAAATTTATTTGATGCGTAGATTGTTTAATCTGAGGATGACAGAAGGGGCTTCGGTTGCTGAGCATCTGAACGAATTCAATATTGTGGTAACACAATTGAGTTCTGTATTTATCGAATTTGATGATAAGGTTAGGGCTTTGAGTCTTCTATCTAATTTGCCAGAAAGTTGGAATGGTACTGTAACGGCAGTAAGTAATTCTTCAGGAAAAGAAAAGTTGAATTACAATGGTATTCGAGATTTAATTCTAAGTGAAGAAAGTCGCAGAAGGGAATTAGGAGAAACATCCGGTTCTGCCCTGAATATAGAAGCCAGAGAAAGATCAGCAAGAAAACCTGAACTGCAACAGATCAAAATCCAAACACAAAAGCAAGTCAAGAACTGGAGAGGAACGGAGCTGCTGGAATTGTGGAAAGAAGGGACATCTAAAGGAAGATTGCCTGACATTAAATAAAAACAAAGGTGATCAAAATCAGAAGTCTTCTAATGCTGCAACGGATGAGATTTATGATGCTTTGATCTTGAGCATTGACAGCCCTCTTGAATCTTGGATTTTAGATTCTGGGGCATCATTCCATGCTACTTCATAAAGGGAAATCATGGACAATTACATTGGTGGTGATTTCGGGAATGTTTATCTAGCTGATGATGAACCTTTGAATATTGTGGATAAAGGGGATATAATAATCAGGTTGCCAAACGGATCTGCTTGGAAGATACAAAATGTCAGACATGTGTCTGGTTTGAAAAGAAACTTGATTTCTGTTGGACAACTTGATGATGAAGGTCATGTTGTAACCTTGATGGGTGGTCTGCGGAAAATCACCAAAAGAGCCACGGTTGTTACTCGTGGTAAAAATAAAGCACCCTTTACATGACTACAAACAATAGGGCTGCAGTAGCAGTTGCTGGTGAGAAGGAAGACTCAAATCTGTGACACCAAAGGCTTGGGCATGTGAGTCAAAAAGAGATGAAGGTACTTGCATCTACGGGAAAACTGTCAGATTTGAAATTGGTGGACATTGACTTTTGTAAGGATTGCATTTTCGGTAAACAAAAGAGGGTCAGTTTTTCAAAGGATGGCAGAAAACCGAAGTTAGAAAAATTGAAGTTGGTTCATACAGATGTGTAGGGACCTGCACCAGTTTCATCTCTTAGAGGATCATCATACTATGTTACCTTTATCGACAGCTCAACGAGAAAGGTATGGGTTTATTTTCTGAAACATAAATCTGAAGTTTATACTATTTTTAAGAAGTGGAAATCCTTAGTGGAGACTGAAACAGGTTTGAAAATTAAGTGCTTGAGATCAGATAATTGAGGGGAATATGAGAACAATGAGTTCAAGAAATATTGTGCAGAAAGTGGAATTAGAATGGAGAAGATTGTTCGAAAGACACCTTAACAGAATGGCATTACAGAACGCATGAATAGAACTCTGAATGAACGTGCTAGAAGTATGAGGATACAGGCCGGATTACCAAAGATGTTTTGGGCAGATGCAGTTAACATTGCAGCATATCTGATTAACCGTGGTCCATCTGTTCCATTGGATAGAGAGTTACCAAATGAAGCTTGGAGCGGTAAAGAGGTAAATCTTTCTTTTGAAGGTATTTGGTTGTGTTTCATATATGTATATAGATTCTGCTGATAGAAGTAAACTTGATCTGAAATCTATTAAATGTACTTTTATTGGGTATGACATTGATCAATTTGGTTATCGATTTTGGAATGATAAAAATTGGAAAATAATCAGAAGTAGAGATGTCATATTTAATAAGAAAGTAATGTATAAAGATACGGATAAGTCTGCATGTGAATCTGAATTTGAATATGTTACTTGTCATGAGCATGTTGAGTTAGAGGAGATTAGTGAGAGTGATTTGAATAACAGGATTCAGAACAATCCTGAAAAACTTATTCCACAAACTGAGCCACATACTCCTACTCCTAAGTTGAGACAGTTAGAAAGAGAGTCTAAACCTACACAGCGTTGGTCTCCATCTTTACATTATTTGTTGTTGTCTGATGGGGGTGAACCTAAAAGTTATGATGAGGCTTTGTAGGTTGATGATTCAATTAAGTGGAAGTCAGCTATGCAGGATGAAATTGATTCACTCATGGGAAACTAGACATGGGAGTTGATTGAATTACCAGTGGGTAAGAAAGTTTTGCACAACAAGTGGGT